GACAACTGAAAGTTTTGAGCCTGGATGTGGTTTTATAATGAAGAATGGAGCAAGTAAAGCAGGAAGAGAAAGGCAGATAATTAGGACCTGTAGATAATGAAAAGTTCGAAGGCAAACGGTTCACCAAAATTTGCTATGTCAGACCTGGGATACTGTATATTTAACGCTGAAGTAAAATTTAAGAGGATATTAAAATTACATGAAATTTTAGCACTTAAAATCAGCTTTACATAATTTCTCTGGAGTTTAAAGCTAATAAGAGAAAAATCGTCTTTAGGTGCACGAGTGTTACCTTGGATGTTCTGTGTGTCCTAGTTCTACCAGTAATATTCATACATCTCATGATTCATTAAAACGTCAATTTGTTCTGGCAATACCATTAATTTGGATTTCATAAAGCCCCCAAATCTACATTCAAAGTTTGGATGACAGGTCTATCTGAAACCTTGAACACGTATATTCATTTAAATCTGAATTATTTGCTGTAGCTGGTTATATTTACTGTAATTTAAAGAGAGTTTAAAGAGATGACCAGGCTTTCCTATCATGGTTAGTGGACAGAGTAGCACATTTGCTAGACAAACCTGAGTATGCCTTGGATTTGTGGCTGTTGTTTTAGAGGTAGTTTTGTGCCTCATCGTTGTATGGCTTGTGCCAAGAGCTGAATTCAGATTTCCGGCTTCCTTGTGAAATCAGTTTTCAAAACAAAGCCGGTCCCACATGGGCAGGCTACTCAATCTAACTTTACTTCTCAATGCCGCACATTCACCTTTCTCCTGACAAAACCATTCAAGATCAAGGGCAGCATCACCTTTGCCACTAATGAGGTTGTTTATTTACCAAATTTCCTTGTGGACTGTGAGAGAAAAACAAGCCATGCATAGCAGAGCATATAATCAGCATTAGCAAAACAGAGCTCCAAATGCTCTGAGTTATACATTTTGTGACAGTAGAACGGCGCGTAGCTCACCTGAAGTACCTGCATGTCGAACATGGAAACCTTTTAAAGAGGCTGCTGAAGTGAACAGACCACGTTATTATAACCTCAAGTCGAGCTGGATTTTAAATTGGACATAATCTTCGAAAGAAAGACTGGTGATTAGCACTTTTAAGGCTTTTAGTTTAAATGTGCTAGATTCTCATTTTGATATCATTTGCTGCTTTTTATTCGTCTCATGTCAGATTTTCAAAATCCCAGATGATTATGTCAGAATACCACAACTTTAACAGCGACAATGCCTAAGTGCCCAGACCACACATCAATTATCTTATGCTAGCTAGTTACAGAGAAAGACAAGATAGCAATGAACGCTACATGAAAATAATCTCAACGCTAAAGTTACTTCATCACATTTGCCAACAATGTAAGAAATGCTGCTAATATAATGTGGAGTGTCAGTTAGAAGCATTTTCCAGCTATAATAGAGGTCTAATAATCAGCACTTTGGATTTCTGGGAGTTTTCGGGGCAACATGAGCTGCAATTAGGCCAAATAATCTGTGCCCAAACAGCAGCTGCATGGCTTGAAAAAAGCCCCAAAATGATTTGATATGTGAAAGGACCAGCCAAAAGTCATGACGCCATGTGCAAAACACTGACACACAGCTTGGACAAAGTGGACTGGGCTCAAGGTTAAACTAACCAATAGGGATGTGACAGACATGCAGCATTCAGGCTATGTGAGGCTGCAAATGCTGCTCATTGGCAGTCGACCTAATGTGGCACACCTGTGTAGCAGCAGTGTACTAAATTTAAAGTTAAAAATCCGTTTGGCCACCACAGACTTTGGCTTTTTTAGTTCTGGTTATGCCTAATGCATTATGTCTTCAATTATTTACCTATTTTATCGACTGCATTGTATTAAAAACTCAAAACTATCACATAAATTAGTGTTTTTCTTCTCATTTCCATCACAAATCTATCCACAGGGTCCACGGTGCTACAACACAGATTAGTTTAAACTCATGAAGAGCCTGTGGGCATTGATAGTTTGTAATAATAATGATGTATGTGTGGCACAGTTCTGTATTTGGTGCACAGCAGAATTCCATTTCTGCATAAATCCATCAATGATTTGCAGACCTGCTCATCAGAGCCCATGTACACTGCTTTATTTGCTGATTTAGATTGGGTTCCAATCTCTGTGTAAATGTGTGAGGCTTTACTGTATGTTTGCTTATCTGTCCAGCCATCCCATCTATTCAAACAGCGTTCCTTTCATTTAAGGCTGTGTGCTGGCTGGGCTTTTTTTTTTTTTTTTTCCTGGGACCTTTTCTGTTATTTTGGGACCAGATGGCGAGGGGCACGGAAGCGCCTCTTTTGTCCGGGCGCCCCAGTGAAAAGAGGCTGTCCTCCCTAATGTAATCAGCGGCACCGGAAGGGTCCATTTTGGGCTGTGAAAGAAGACAATCGGGTCTGGACACGTCTAGATTACAGAAACGCAGAGTTCATCTCCTGACCCTGCCCCCTTTGACCAAGGCCCTGGCATGGAGGATCCTCATCTTTGATCAGTGGAGGGTGGAGGTGCTGATCCGACCTCACGAGAGCCAAAGGCCACCCCCCCCCCTCCACCCTGTTTACCCTGCACTTGGCTGCTGCTGACACCTCCTTCCGGAAAGAGCCAGGGGGTGGTGGGTTGGTTTGGGCATGGGGGGGATACCATGACCTGTCTAGACACCGTTGCTTGTTGCCCTGGTGTTGCCAAGGGGACATAATGAACTTTGACCTCAAATGTAGTTGGTTAGGAGCCACTCTGGTCATCTAAGGAAGACATTTTTTTTCTTTTTAATTTTCAGGGTTGGGGGTGGGGAAATGAGGCGGGGGTACGGATGTGACCCACATAATACACAATCTGCTTTGAGGGACCACATGCATGACTTTGTTGGCAAAAACTTACCTTTTTTTATTTTAATAATTGGGTGACATTTTCAGTTAGGTCACAGGACGCCAGAGACCAGCTGTCAGTTCCTTTGCCTTTCACCTCAGAAACGACAATTTTACTTTCCTAAGATTTTTTTTGTTTATTTGCTTTAGTTCATCCGATCACGGTGACACTCTTGAACGGAGGACTGATTTAGTTATTTTTTTATTTGTGACATGTACAGGAAGTCGTGCTGTTCTTGGTTTAAGATGGTTTTTTGATTTTGATACATTTTTTGGATGTTTTATTTCTCATGCACAGTAAGTAATCTTTGAATTTGGTGTTTATCCTTTTAAATCTTACATTCAACAGGCAGTTTGTAGCTAAAATGAAGAAAAATATTCCTGCGTTTACATGTATTTTTTAGCATGGCTGAGTAAGACTCATCTTCCTGAGCTGTTTTTATGTTGAGCCTTGTTCAGCCAAGGCAGTTTTCTACCTTTGCAGTAATTATACATTCTATTTTTTCTTATTTTATCTTCATGAAATTGTGATTTTTGCTATTTCAATAAGTGAAGGTAAAGTGTAGCGTATGTGCAGCCCTTTTCCACATGCACCTTTCTTATAATTTGTGCTTAAACATATTGGATTTACTGAAAAAATTAGAAAATATTATAAATGTAAGATTAAGGGCAGTGCAGTGCAATAAACAATAGCATAATATTTGTAAAAAACCAAATGGACACCTACGCGATGTACAGTATTGATGTACACAGAATATTTTTAATTTAAATGTGCAGATGTTACAAATGCAATGTGTCTAGTAGTGTAGGTTTTGCAAAAAATTAGGGTGAATTTGTCTGCAAATGTTTTTAAATTTTCAGAAAAACATAATTAGTATGTGTATTCTCTGATAGAAATGTTTCGCCGTGCATGCAGTAAGATGTTACTCTTATTTACCACACGTCATACTTCGCCCTACACCTAGAGTCTCTGGTTTTGGCCTGCACCACAACATAGCCCAAAGTGTGAATTGGCTTTGATGTTGAGGCTGTTCTCAGGAGTGGGTGTAGTGATTCCACCATCATGGCCGCCACTACCAACCCCGCCCTCTCGCCTGCCACTCAGGAACAGTTAAAATGGCAGCATGCAGCAAAATGAGTGAGAGGGAGAAAGGGAGAGACGCCCACTACTGTGAGCTAAGGCACGGTTGACTGAGCCGCAGCTCGCCTTGTGTGCCAACTCAAACTGAGATGATTATTTTTGGTGTATTCGGCCGTCTGAGAACAATGTAGAATCTGAAGAAGTCTAGACAGGTAGATTGGGCTGAAAGCAGTGAGGGTTAACCTCTTTTGTCAGCGCTTTATCCAAAATGAATAGTTGGTGATAGTGCTCTGTTTCCAGCCACAATTTGTCCAGATGTAGAGCTAAATGCCGCCCAGATATTCTCCCTTTAAAAGGCTGAATGTTAAAAACACAAAATCCATCCAAACAGAATTCGGGAAAACACGAGCACACTATTTTCGTAGCACAAATGCAGCCAAATAGGAAAACATCTATGCTAAATATGCTTTGTTGGATGCACTGCAACCATTACTACAATATAACGGAAACATATTTTGAACTCTTCACCCAGGTCTTTGGCCGGCTGCCATTTTATTCTCCAAATTATCGGTTGCAGTCTGGCACGGCGAATGGGCACTCACTGATTATCACAGGATTTTCTGCTCTGTAGCATCTAAGATATAAAAACAAGCTTTATTATTCATATACTGTATGTGTGCCTTAGTTGTAATGTGCCTTAGATTTGGTCGTCAACGTTTGGATGTTGCATCATCTGTATTCTGAAGTGGTCCAGTACAGTATTTCAGTGACTATATTCATTTTTAATGTAGAAAGAACAAAGTGCTGTGATCAGTGATCATTGAAACCCTTTGCTCTTAGTCAAACAGCTCTATGTGTGCGCTTATTATGTCATCTACTTAATACCAATTAAAGGCTATACGCTACACCAACCCAACGCTGTTTCAATGAGCTAGAGACCCATTTAGAATGGATCACAGAGCGCAGATGTGTGTATGCAGTCTCAATAAAGCATCTGAAATTAAGTATTACACCCAATCATTTCAAACCTTTGCAGGTCTGGCTGCCACTTCATAACAACTCTATTGCAAGGCATCCCACATCCCAACTGCAGTGTGGAGAATTTTAAGGTAAATGTCCAAATCTTCTATTTTTGGGTCTCCCTACTCACACTGAATGACATTTTATTATTGGCTCTTGGTGTGAATGTGTGTTTTTCCCCTTCCCTCCACAGTGTAGAGAGCTGGTGGTGGACTAGGAGGAAGATGTCATGGTTTTTTGGTGATGATGTTGCTGCTGTTGATGCAGCGTCGAGCTCTCACTTTGTGCCTCTGTCAGTTATGATGCGTAACCACAAAGTGAGTGACAGGCCAGTCCCCAGGGAGAGCAGGGGGCCTGAGGTGAGTCAGATGTATCCTTGACCCTGTCGAGCTGTGTCAGCAAGCAACACAAACTCTGTAACAAAGGCCGGAGATGGCATGACTGTACATTGTACATCTTAATTTAGTATATAGAAGGAGACTGTAAGCTTCACCAAGAAGCACAACCAACTCGACGGTTTCTCTTCAAGAGATCTTGTTTTTGTTGCATAAATTCCCGCAACTTATGAATAATGAAATCATAATGCAGCATATCACATTACAGCTCATACCTTTGATACCCATGCGTGCTTTTGTTTCCTCCAGAGTACTGAGTGTTTTTAGAACCTGTCTCAAACATGAACATGGTCCTGATTTTGGTAGATATTCAACTTTGTTTAATTCAGTGCATTACAGTACAGAATTAAACACCCAATGCCACTTTAGGACTTATAAAAAGATGTCACAGAAACGTGTTATTTTTGGAAAAGGCAAGTCTTGTTTTAAAAGTGTGTTTATTATGAAAGTTTTGCCTTGGTGCGTACATGTTTTAGTTCAATTTAGCTTATATTTTAAGTTGCAACACTGTTAGAGTTGTAGGGGAATGAGGAAAGTAAAATTTTCGGTACTAAATTTATTGGGAATTTGAGAAAACCTTCATTAGGAATTTTACTGTACTTGATAAAAGGCCGAACAGGCAAAGATTCGTTAGTGTTCAACTCCAAACCTACTTCAACCCTTGTTACAGTACTCGAAGGTGATCCAACGTTACAGAGAGTGTATTGTGGTATTACAATGGAAATATGTTATGCTTTTTAAAATGAATAGCTAATCAGTGTTTAATAAAACTTTCTTCTAATCCAAATGATTAAGACACCTGTGAAGAAATTTTGGGATGCAATGTAATGTCAGTTTTATTCATACATTACTCATCTTGCTTTTGATTTGCCATATCATACATAATATCTTGGAGAGTGTGATGCATTTTACACGAACTATAGTCTCATTACTGGCTTTATTGTTATGTTTAACACTGAAACAATTAGTTGATTAGTCAAAAAGTAAATTAACCTACAACAATTCTGATAAGCAGTAAGTTTAAGTCATTAATCGAGCAAAAATGCCAAACTTTTAGCTTCTAAACTGTGAAGACTTGCTGCTCTTCTCTGTTTTATGCCATTGTAAATTTTTATTTTTGATCGCTGGTAAGACAAAACAAAAAATTTGAATATGCAATCTGATCTTCTGGAAAAATCGCGATGAGTATTTTTAAGTATTTTTTGTCATTTTATAGACTAAACGATCAATCGACTAATGATCAATGTAGAGAACAACCTAATCAGTGATGAGAATAATCATCAGTTGCAGCTCTTTTGTTAAGTGTGAACAGGAAGTTAAAAATGACAATGAACTGATGATGTTTTTATTGTTTCGTTTCGTGAGGAAGATGTGCTTCATTTGTGAAAAAGGTAACATATCAGCATATCATGAAAGTTGGTGTTAATTTTCAGCTTCAAAAGCACTTGATGTGATCTCTTGTAACAGAATTAGCAGAGTAACAGCAGTTTAATTTCACCAAAGCAGCAGTCAGAGTCATAGTAAATAAAAGTGTAACAGAAACAACTGATGCAACCTGTGTCAAAATAAGCAGATTTTTATATGAACAAAAACTCTTTATACTCTCATATGTCCCGTAATGCTCTCTTATTACGGTTACCACATTTTGACCCCCCAAAAATCCGTTCATGACACATCCACGATTCAGTCAGTGAAACCAGAAGTTCTGTTGGTCAAAGCATGTTATAAACAACTTTGTGGAATTTATTGCCAAAGATTCCACGTTTTAATTTATTCCCCAAAGCAGGAAACATCCGCTAAAGCACCCAGATATGATCGCTATATGGGAAAAAGGCACACAGAGATTTGTTTTTCCTGAATTTCGTTAAGCGAACAAAGGGAATCTTTATTGAAAAGTCTTGCATCTCTTTTCAAGGGTCGCTCAAACACGGGTGTGTGAAATGAGAGTTGCCTGGGTGTGACTTTTCCAGAAAGCATCCGCTTGCTATTGTCTGCCTAGTCAACTTCTGCAGGCCCCAGTGCCCTGACTTCCATACATGAGAGATCAAGGGTTACCAAGGTGCTTTTGAGAACGGAGGGCTCAATGTGAGAGGGGACAAACCAGTCCACAAAATACTCATTTCCTTTGCATGTTAGGTGCCCTAGTGGGGATTCAGACGGGGTCACTGACACAGCCACTGGAGTTTTTTTTTTTTTCTCCCCTCCATCGTTGTTCTTAATGAAAACTGTTGCTCGCCTTTTCACTGGCTTGCTACTGCTATCTGCTGCCTGTACAGTATGTGGCTCGATAATGTGCTGAGTTTGCCCAAAAGAAAGTTTGTTCAGACTCTGGCTGTTTATCCGGTGCCAGACAGAGGCACCTCATGTAGAAAAGGTAAAAGTAATTCTGTCCACCTCTCATTCTTGCCAGAAAGTTCAGTCACTGAGCCACAGCATTAACTTGTATTCTAACAAGATTAAAATATATTCGTCCTGGGGATTAGCATAGTTAGGTGTCCTTTTGCCTCTTTTTTTCCTGCACTGGTGCGGTGACAGTGGGCTTTGATCTGTGTTGCGAGGCAAGAGTCCTGGCTTGGACCTAGCCATTCGAGTGCCAAGTGTGAAATTGGCCTGATGTCATCCCCATTCTTCACCTTTTACATCTTTCACCACTTTAATTATGTTTCCGCCACAAAGCCTAGGCACCTCTGAGCAGATTCCACTCTGGCCGTAGGAAGCATTTAGAAACTGGGTAAATGACACAGTAGGGGAGGGGGAGGATGGTAGGAGAGGTCATAGCAGGATGGGGCCCTTTTGTGTTTAGAGGTAGACATTGATACTTTCCTGATGTATCCTGTGCTCACTTCCATTTTTACAGCATGAGAACTTTGTGAAATTGTCAGCACAAAATAACTTTTATTCCAGGCATTTTTTACAACTTCTGCATCTTGCTCCAGAGGTGTTTATTTCTCAGTGTTTTCCACCCAGATAACTGATGATTTCAACTGTCATATATTATGTTTTTACTGCAATTTAAGACTTTCCTGTTACATGGAGCGATTAGAGGCCCAAACATGGACCACGTCTGGTCACTCGACCACCTGAATCTCACTTTTGGCGATCAGACAAATTATTCTCCGATAAAAAGCTTTTGTTCCAGCAGAATGTGCCCATGCAGCCGTACAGCTCCAGCTATTGTTCATGCATTGGTGTCCCTATCTGAACTTCGGGGAGCTCCTCTGCCGGTGAATATTTTGATGAAGGTTCCTATTGATGCGCTGAATGAAGGACCAAAACAACAGGGGTATGTGTGCATGTGAGGAGGAACAGAAATGAATGAAGTGTGTGGGGATGTGTGCGTGCCAGGCAAGAATAAAATAAAACCAAGTGATAGTAAGATGTGTGTAAGTGTGTGTGTGTGAGGGAGGGAGAGAGTATGAGTTAGCGAGTGAGAAAGCTGTGTGTGGAGAATGGGTTACTGAGGGGCGGGAGGGGGGAAACCAGCCACCTGCAGCCATGACAGGCTTTGACCTTCATTGCTCTCTCTCCCTCTCTCTAGTGTCTCTCCCCTCCCTCCCTCCCCTCTCTCTCACTCTCTCCTTTCGACTCCCATTTCTGCCTTGTGATAGAAGCACAGGCTCCTTTCAGAAGCGGCGAGGAAGACTGACCGTCGTGAAGACAGTGCTGGGAGCAGCCCTATCAGCTCTAATGCTAGTCACTGGCCGTTAGACATGGCGTTCAAAGACTAGCGGTGCAAGTATGGAAATGCAGATAAGGCATTGTTGAGGAAACATGCCTGGGAATTGTTCAAGGCTTTCCCTTGCATAATGTTTGGATGCTTTCGCAAATGTTTTAATCTCAGAACCCATGAATTTGATCCTCAATGAATGTGATGCAGAGCTGCCCATAGAATGAGGGGGTGTTTGCATGGAGAGGATTGTCTTGCTATGAAAATTAATAATGTTTGTGATTGCATTTGTGGATATTTGACATCTGGCAACATTTCTTTACAACTATTTTTGTGTGTATTTCTCTTTTCTGGCGAGTAATGCATTTGTTTTTTGTAGATAATAATGCCTGCAGAAGCTCAGCATTGAGTCACTGCTTCAGCCAGGCCTCAGTTATTTTTTCTTCTGTGTTTTAATGACAATACATATCACGTAAAGATGCCAGAGACTTGCTTGTGTATAATCTTCAAGGTTTATTTACTCTTCTTTTGCAGTTTTTCAGGAGGCAGTTAATTACACAATTAATACATGATACAAATTATGTACATTTATACCAAAGAATACTCCCAACATAAAATAAAAAATAGCATTGTATTCTACAACTCTGTGTTGTAATTTTATTTAAACATGTTCATATATAGATAGATATACGCTGATGAGTAAATTCATAATGTCGTACCAGCAGTTTTTCATAAAGGCATTAAACTTGAATAGTCTGCATTTGAAGTAATACTGCTTCTCTGATTCGGCACAGTTCTGTTTCATAAAAAGTTCACACTTGAACTTTTAAGGCAAAGTGTGTTTCTGTTTGGTGGATTTTAATTCACACACACTTTTTGCAGATACACAACAAAAACACTTTGAAAGGCAAAAAGTCCACAATTTGGTATGGATACAGTCTAAAACTTAGCTCGATCATACTCCTGTCAATAAAGACCAAAGTTTATAAACACAGTTATTTGCCCAAGTACAACAAATTGCAGCTTTCATGCAAAGGCCCCATAAACTATTTTTCATTCACAAAAAAAAAACAAAACAAAAGAAAACAAAAAGAAGTTATTGCAAGATAAACAAGCAGTGTAAACACCTCAGATATCTACTCTAAAGCAACACTGGTCATTGGATAGATTTTTTTTCTCAATATAATCTATATAAATACACATATGAAGTCCTTTCAACAACGATAAGAGATTTCCAACATTTGTAATACAGTCACTGACGGATTTGCCTTCTTTTTATGATAAATGGATATGTAATAAAACTGTATATAGAGAAAGATTTAACAAGAACATCCAATAACCTGCTTTTATAGTCTATATAATCCAGAGTGCGCAGAATGGTTGCCATCATTGTCTTTATGCTACAGAGTTGTTCTGTGACTTTATAGGCAGCATTATAGCCTTCAATTCAGTTAGCTACAAAAAACAGATTCATATTGCTAGTTAAAAACTATAATAGCTGCACTGATGCATTGGTATAACGAAGGGAATACGCACATATTTTAAAGGCTATGAGACGACCACATGCATATAAGCGAGGCCCTAACTTAGCTTTTTAGTTCAGTGGCGTGTTAGACAAAAAAAAGTCACTTCTAATAAACAGTTCCTGTGGTTTTTCTTTTTTAAAAAACGTATCAAAATTCATTGTCTGCCCAATTAGCTCTGCAACTGACACTCAAGAAAAACATTTCCTCTGTCCGCTTCTTTTTTTTTTGTTTACATTAAAACAACCAAGGAAACCGACAAGCATGGAAATAAAACTCGTGTTAGCATTTATTTAAATTCACAGTAGCCTGGATGCAGCAGAAAAATATTCTTTGGACTTCAGTTGGTTCACTTTCACTGACAGATGGAAACGTCAAGTGCCAGTTATAGTTCAGTGTAAAATGATGACAATCATGGGTAGCCTATAGAAAAATGGTGGGTGTAAGCGTTTGTACCTCCTGGTGGGGGGATGCGGGGGGGGGGGGGGGGGGGGGGGGGGGGGGGGGGGGGGGGGAGGGGGGGGGGGGGGGGGGGGGGGGGGGGCCGGGGGGGGGGGGGGGGGGGGGGGGGGGGGCGACAAACAATGAAAACATACCTTTATACAACATCTTTTTATAGACGTGATATTGCAGAAATATCTCTCTTTTTTTAATCAATTTATGCTGGTATACTCTATACACTGGCCCTTTATTCGATGAAATTATTGCATTGTAGGCTTGACAAAACCTCCCATAGAACGAAAAATCACTATAATATTCCTATAGGAAGCTATAGAGACTTATAAATATTCCTGTAGGGACTCTTTGCAGTCCAGTGAGCTTTCTTTTTTTTTTTTTTTTAAATTTCCTGTATGTATCTGTGTGGGTCAGCTTTATAGTGATAGTAATAGAGCTTTGTGGTATTTTTATCTGCTGTGGCAACTTTAAATATTCCTGTACTGTAGGTAGAGTTTTGCGGTGATATCTCTATAAAAATCTATCAGACTACTATAGGTTCTTTTTCGTCAGGAGGCTGCTGTGACTTCTCTGGAAATCAATCGCTGTCTGATTTTTCGTCTTTCGACGAGATGGTGGCGTGATTGTACAGTCCTTGTGCCATCAGGTGCAAGGCCAGGCTGTTTTTTGCGCCAGTGGCCTTCTTGATTTTGGCCCTCTTGTTCTGAAACCAGATCTTGATCTGGGACTCGTTCAGGCCCAGCTCCTGCGCCAGGTTCTGCCGCCTCTGCTCGGTCAGATAGCGATTTGTCTGAAACTCCGATTTTAGTCTTTGCAGCTGCTCTGCTGTGAAGGCCGTCCGTGGTCGCTTGTCCTCTTTGCTGGTCGTTTTCTTCTTTGGTTTGCGAGATCTTGGCCCTGCAGTGTGGGGGGTATATGGGGGTGAGGGGGGGTCACAGACAAACATATATTGGTTTGTTAGTATCCAAACATGCTCATAAATATGCGCAAAGAAAACATGGGTGATAATCAGGGAAACGGCATATTAACAACTTTATAAATGAAAAAACAAAGAATTTTAAGCTTCCTCATTAAAATACTAACCCCACGTAACACTAGTATTCTGATATACCTCTTCACATTTAGGATAACGCCAACATATTTACGCAAAGCTCGTGCGTAAAGTCTGTTTTCCATATGTTAAACATACTTCATCTGCAAAATCGAGAAGTAAGTAAACAAATGTTTCATCAGACATATGTTGCCATAAAGTGACCGTGTCTTTAGAAGGTTTTTGCATTTAAAAAAAATCACAAAATTAAGTTCTATTGTTCCCCTCACATCTTTTTTGTAAACTTGTAAAAAATGAGGAGCACTGGTTGTAAAATGTTGACACGTCCACTGGAAAAAAAACACACACCCAAGAATCAAAACCTCCCCTCCCTCCCTGTTTCTATGCCTCTTCCTCGCTTACACACATATACGTACATGTGTACACACACACACACACACACACACACACACACACACACACACACACACACACACAACGCTGACACTGTCTGTAGTAATAAGGAATTATTAACCAATAGGACAACACTTGGAAAAAAACATCACTGACACATCTCAGCCACTGTTTGGAAATACAGGATACAGTTCAATGCAGCTACTTTGCATTTTTTGTTTTCGTGGGCCTCTCGAGGAGCTCCTCAGTGGGCAAACGTGAAGAGAATGTGAGCAGCGCACATTAGATACACGTTAATTTTCCATCTGGATAGAGGCCTGTTTAGTTGAGCTTCGCACTTGTGTGTTTGGCTCCCTCCTCCAAACAGTGTGGAAAACATTAATGAAACCACATAACACAGGCCGAACCTTTATACTGATGAATCAGCGTGTGTGTGTGAGAGAGAGTGTGTGTGTGTTTCTTTTTTTTTTTCAAGCAGCCCATATAAAAACTGTGCAGCTCTACAACTCGTAGTAGTCGCCTACGCCACTCCATACAGCGTTACATAATGCATGAGAACAAGTTGTACTCCACTTTTCATACACTCTAAGAAAAAATACACCTGATGTAAACTTTTCTGCAGACTGGCAACTTACAGGTTTTGTTTCCTTATAATTAAAGATAAGAAATAATACAGAAAAACCTTCACCACTGGCTGGTAGAAACAGAAGCTATGGGAGCGTCCATTGTGAAATCAGATGCATATTTAATTCATCCCAAACACAACTCGCCTAACGCTTCTGAGCAGCAAAACAGCTACACCAATTATTATTTTGCAGACCTGCAGATTTTCTGGATGCAGCCTGTCACCGCGCTGATGTTTACTATATGTAGGACCCCAGTATTATCATATTCATAACCTGAGGAAATATACAAGAGACTGTCTGCATGGGAACATTTTAGTGCAGAAAATATCTGTGCGTAATGGTTACGTAAAAAGGGTTTTTGTGTATTTTGGAGAGGAGTTAACATATGCAGAATTAAGTTAAGTTTTGCAGCTTAAAAGAAATATTTTTTCTTTCTTGTTTGCATTTAAAATAGGCCCACTCTCACCAAAAAGCCCCTTTTTAATTTGGTTTTATGTGGTAGCCTATTTTTCCTGCGTTGTGCAAAGACACGCTGATCGTGCAGCTACTCTACCTCAAGATTTCTGCATTAATTATTATATCTTTAAAAATCTAAATTGATTTATCTTCAGTAAAATGTCATCTTGCGCTGCGCAGCACGCTTCGCTACAGCCTACTCTACTTCGGAGAAGTCGGTCAAGGCATCCGGGGTCAGTGTTACGGGGTATTTCAGGTTACCGGGAATACGGTATAGAGTAAAACGCATGCACGGTGCCACCAACCTGAAGAAGGCCTGTCCGAGTATCTGGTGCAGTACACCCAGGCTGGCCACAGCATGGGCTGAGGGTGGGATGGGTTTGAGCTGGCTTGGGAACTGTCTGAGTCTGAGCTTAGGCACTGGTCTCCGCTCTCCCCGCGGGGTTTCAGCGGCTCCTCGGCGGCTATAGCGGGCTTCTTGGTCCCGGTAACCGTGTGTGGAGTGGAGGTCCCCTCCGCCGGCACCGTGTTCCCCACCGGCTCGGTCTGAGGGGCGTCGGGGCTGCTGTGGCTCTCCCGCGATGCCACGCTGTTCTCTTCGCGGTTTGCGCCCCCGTCCTTTTTCCGTCCGAAATCCGGCCGCAGGATGTTGTCGATGAAGAAATTGGTGACCCGGTGAGGGATCTGCAGGTTCCCCGGCGCCTGTAAGAGGGGAAGGATGGCTCTGTTGGATTCATCCGCCGACTCCTGCCGCTCCACCACATCTCTGTTGCCGTGATCATTTTCTTCCATACTGATTCACTTTCCCCGCTTTACTCTCTTTAACCCCTTTATCGCTCTCTCCGCTGCAATAAAATTCGCAAAGAACTTCAGGGGAAATTAAAATTGCAGGAAAAAAAGCTGCACGCTTGAAATAAATAAAAAAAATAAAACTCAAATACTAGTGAGTGCCTTGGACACCATGCAAAGCCTTGCGGTAGTGTCCTCTGAGAAAAGCATACTTTTTTGACATATATTCCCTCAACCTCGGGTTACAACTGAGAGCGCACAGCTAAAACATGTGCCATTTGCGCACCGTCCAATTTAGTGTTATCCGATTTCAGTGTGCTCAGTAATGCCTACACCTAAACTAAACTAAGGGTAAATAAAGAGGCTCCTAAACTGATGCTCTAATACTCTCACTCTGGAGTTTTGTTCTTATTTTCAATACGAGCCCCCCGAGTGACGTTTTCCCACCGTCCTCCCAGACACGTGCCTTGCACCAATAGGATGGCAGAAACCAGGCCACGTGACGCAGACTCCAGCGCAGTCCACAAACGCCCATCCTCGCCTTAGTAAAGGGAAAGAGTCCTGGACTGACGGAGGGAGAAGCCTAATTTAAATCCAGTGCATGCTCACAGATACCCCCCAATAATTAATCTGTGTTTATGAAACTGTAACTTAATTTTTTGGAGTTTTAGTTTGCAGAAGGGGAAACACGATGCACACCAGCTTGTCTGTGTTTATTAAAAACAATGGGAGATTGAAGCATCGGCTGTCAAAGTAGGTTGTGGGGACCCCCGGGGTTCCTCGCTTGCAGGGCAGGGAGGGATTCCCAGTAAAACAAGAAATGGTACATTTTTACGACATTTTAATGCACTATAACACATTTTCGGTGCACATAAGTTGCATTCACGACACTTTAGGACACCCTTAGTGCAATACAGTTTGATTTAAAAAACAATAACAACCAAAAATCTTCTCATTTAAACGCAAATTAGACAAAAATCCTTGCGTAAAGGGTAAAATAGACCAATGTGGATGCATTTGGGGATCCGTGACGTGCAAATCTTTGTGCAACATGTGTTAAAATATCATCTGAAAATACACCTTTTTAGACAACACTGAAAACACCATTATTAGCATGAACACTACACAATATTTGCATTAAATGTCATTATAGCACCTGTAAGGTTAGCTGGACTCAGAGTAAGTTAAAGTCAGATTGTCCTGGCCAAGGTTAAATGCGTAAAACAGAGCAGCTGCATGTCTGTATGCTCATATTTAGAGCTAAAGCTGGAGTAACTGTATTTTGTTGTATTTAAATTAAATCTAAAAACATGCATCTTTATTTTAAACCATAGCAGCAACGCATTTACTGTTTTATCTTGTAATGTAACCACTTTATTTGCAGGATGTGCCTAATGTGACGTGTTGCTTTCAGTCGAGTCATAATTGGCAACAAAATGCATCAAAACTGAAATGTGACAGCCAAAGAGTTCCCCCCCCTGTCTGGCTCTCAAAACGCGCAGAGATGTGCCTTAAGTATTTTTGATGTTCTCATGTTCGCCTGTCGTGACGCTGCGGTCGACCAAGAACTGGGTCCATATCCCTTTAAAAGAAATCAGTGATGCAAACAAACTGTTTTGTGCACGGTGCTCAGGATACTGAGTCGCGCCAAAGACAAAACTTTGAGTAACTTTGCTGACCAGGGCTAAGTTTGCTTTTTCTCCTCCCAGGACGCCACCGGGCTGCAGGGATGGCGCAGCCGGTTCTCCGCTGGCGTTTGAACCGGGGCTGCGCGTAAAAGAAAAAAGGGGGCATCGAGGAGGACCAGAGGAGCAGCAAGACTCAGACTGAGTGAGGAGCCTTTGAACAATTCAGTTAGGGAAGTCAGACAGCTGCTTTCTTTTTATTATAACAAGCATCTGTTGTCTTTGTTTTAGATTTTTGGGGAGTGGGAGTAACTTGGATCCATATTTCTAAAGCGCACACAGGACGTTGCTGTATAATGTGATTATTTTATGACAGATTGTTCAGATTTATTTAAGCTGTGGTGACGTTTGTCATAAAAATATGTGCTTTTTGGATGCTGTGGAGGTTGCAACAATAACCTGCTGCCCAAAACTGTTTAATTTGAACTCGAGTCTGGTATTGTCCTACGGGAAACACTCTATCCTTGACTTTTCACTTGTTAAACACAGGCTTTGTGCAAATTGCAAAGCAATTATTGTGAAGTCTTACTAGCTAAAATATTTGTTTGGGGTTAATCTTGGGTTTGCGTCCAAACGCGTATGGACACCTCATATGCGCACAAATTCACAAAATACCACATCACAGGCTTTAGGCTGACCTCTTGATAGTATTCCACTTTTCAAAGAGAATTCTTGCCTTCTGACATTGCTGCATTTTAAACAGTGTTATCCCCCAAAATCTACCTGAACACCCTTTTCTCCTCTCTCACATGGCCCCCATATCACAAAGGGCCCATCCAGGCTCTCCCGTCGGCTGCTGAAGTGAAAGTTGGGAGTGAAAGATGTAATTAGACAGGCCACTCTCATGCTGCGATTGTTTCTTACTTGTGAGGGGAAGCGCAGATTAATGTTGAGCGCTAAATAAGCAGCAGACAATGGAGGCACAGACAGGCCGCTACCGCCTGGGCTTGGCCTCTAACCTCACAGCAAAACACTCATGTCTGGAGGAAATGACACCATTTCAGCCTCTGAATTATAATACAAGCCTGTGTGCACTGCAGAAAACACACTAAAACACACCATCTATGCTTCTAATAAGCCACAGAATTGTGTTTTTCTTTAAAAACTAACACATCTGGCTCTTATTCCACTTGTTTCTATTTTGAAGCGACGTTTTAAAACAAAAAAATGAGAATGATGGTTGCGGATCGGGATTTTACGCACAAGGATACCCTTTACAAGAAATGCTCCAAATAGGTGAAAGAGCAGTGTGCAGGAGTCATCTCACCCCACTGCAGCTTTTAGCAGCAAAACATGCTTTTTAATACTCAAAACTAGACCATGTGTATTTTTTGCAGTGTATACCGTACAGCACATAATCCTACTATTGTGGGGTTTTGATTCACCATTGTCTGGTGACTTTTACTGGCTTGTTTTGCTGTGTGGTGGTAAAATGTGTCCTGTTTTAGCAGAATGTTTACTCACTGATGATTTCTGTAGTTTGACATATGAGCTAGACTAACTTTTACTGGTTAGAGATGAAAACACGTTGTAGGACAGTTTGTCCTGGTTGGTGAAGGGTTAAAATAGTGTAGCATCCAATTTATTCGCATATTACCATTGTTTTTATCTCATTTTCGCAAGAAAAGTCAGGAAATAATCAACTTATATGAAGCTTTTAGTAAGTCTGTTTTTAAAAAAATATTCTTTAATATTGTGTCTGACTTTTTTTTTTGGTGGCATGCTTGCTTTGTAGTTTTATTGTCTTCCTCTTCATCGGCTATGTTGCTTTAGAAAGTGAAGCCCCCTCATATTTAGTCTTTGGATGTTTGTTTCTTAAAATATTGATTAACACAGTTGGGAAAATGGGATTTTAAAAGGAAGCTTTTATGATGGTAGCTCACCCTTGGACATAATTTTTTTGTTTTGTATCCAGGCCTGTCCAGACGCGGTGAAACTGATACATGAATGCACAGTATTTTTTATTTTTCTTGCCTGTATCATGATCAAAAACTGATGTTAAAACGTGCACACACGTGCTTAATAAGCAGGCCTCAGTTTTCTGTATTACAGACGTGTGTAGTTTTTATCCAAGGTGACTTTAAAACCTGTGCATGTGCAGGTTTTCCACATTGTGATAAAACATTATCCAGTGTTCCAACGGGCTTGTAGTTAAAGACGAGGCGACTATTATAAACCAGTTCCTGATTATTTAAAATGTCTGCCATCCTCAACACAAATGTTTCATATTCTTATTTGCTCTCATTTCCAGAGCACTCTGTCACGTAACAAATAAGCCGCCAGCAGCTGGGTCAAATCGATGATATGAAGTTTTGGGAAATTCCTGTTATCATTGCTTGTATTTGCCAACACTCGAGCACATTATCAGCAACGCAGCCTGTTATTATGGCTATTTTAAAGGTGTAAACTGCCTCATAGTTAAAGCATAGCTTGTATAAAGTGAGTATTTATCATGAATACATTCTGTTCTTGTTCAGGGAAGCAGGAAATATTGATTATTGCACATGTCAGGTTGTGCTAAATTAGTAAATGCTTCAGATTCTCATGTCTTTTCTCTTGTTTGTTTCAAGAAGCACCAGAAAGTGTGTTGTACTTTGCATTGAAGGGTTAATATTCCCTATTTTTGATTTAAAAAAAATGCTGTTCGAACGTCTGATTTTGTTTCCATGCAGCCTATAAATCCAGCAACTGGGTCTATTTCATATTCACTTATAGCTCCACACCTCCTCCCCCTCCTCCTCCCCCTCCTCCTCGCGCTCACACATATATACACACCCCTCCTACTACTATAATAAATCGCATGCATTGTGCGCATGTGCCCTGTCCTTGAGTTCCTATAACCTATTTTTTTCCTCTGTATTTTCCTTGGTAGGATTGTCTTACACGTCACCAGCGCTCAGTACTATGGAGTACTACAAAAGGTGACGCGCAGAAGGAGGATTTGTGAATGGACGCCGTGATGTGTGCCAGCTCACAGATCAGAGGGTGGTGGGACCTCTGCAGATGCACCCTGAGCCCCCTCCAACCCCACCCCTACCCCAGCAACACCCCCCCTCCTCCTCCTCCTCTTCCTCCCCTCCCTCTCCCGGCCACCATCCCTCCCTCCAGATGAATGGGGGTCTCTAAAAGATATCAGCTCTGTCACCATGCAGGGGTCGGACCAAATCCTCCAGCTTCCTGTGCCTTTCAAAACCTGAAAGCAAGTCTCTCCTATTTGATGATCCTGTATGATTTTTTTTGTTGTGCTTTTGTGGGCCTGGAAGCTCGCTGCCCCCTGTTTTTTTTTTGTTTTTTTTTTTTCATCCCGGGTCAGCCAAGAGCATGGCAGCCGAATTAGACAAGATTAGAAGCGGGCCTAATTGCGTATAGTCTCTACTGCAAAAAGTCAAATGAGTTTAGAAAGAAAACTGAAATAAATTGTAGGATTTGGTGAGATAGTTCCACCTGTTTCCAAAGCTCCATTGTTTTCCAGGAATTTTCCAGAACGTGTAGTGTGTTGAGTGTTGGAGAAAAGTGCAGATCACAAGAAATTTAAGTGGAAAAATATAAATTTGGGTTAAAAACAAATGCAGTAAAATGATCGAATTGGTGCATTTGTACCACTTGTGTTAAGATATGGATATTTTTGGTGCGTAAAACACGAACCCATGCGTCATTTACTGCTCATATGTTAAAGCTAATTTGGATTAACTCATAAACTGCTTCTTATTCTTCTTTAAAAGCTACAACATGATATAAAACTGAAGATTGGCTTTTTAGTTTTAAGGAAAACATGTAGTGAGGCTGTGCTCCTCAAAGTCAGATTAATTTATTTTTGCCTCTGCTGCCAAACAGCCTTCCAGATATGCTTTACCCCACTATTTATTCATCATACATCACCGTATGTAGATGATGTCTATATAATTTTTGCCTTGGTGTGGATGTGTTTACAGAGGAATCCTCTGGAGTCGCCACGCAGCGGACTTTGGGGCTGCTGGATCTTCTGGTTTCAGCCCTTTATAGGTTTTAATAACTCTTAATCCGTCTGATCGGTCTGGCGTAGATAAGTCTCATTTGAATTGGGATTGTTCTTCAGGAGCGGCTCGTATTTCTCCACAGAAGTCTCAAACAGAAGCTTAGCACAAACAACTGCACCACCCTGAGCGCAATTAAGGCCTCAGCTAAATTGGATGAAAGCTAATTGAATGCAGCTGAGCTCCCATCAGCAAACTCCTGAACGCTTCACTAATGTGAGGAAGATGTTCGGCGGGTAGTCTGTGATTTTTCCACGTTTTTTAATATTTCTTAAAGTGCCCAAAAAAGTGAAACAAAACAGCAGCACTCCTGTTTGAATTTCCACTTTATTCTGGAAGTAGAAAATATATTTTTAAAAAGTTTTCTTATCTCTCATAAGAGGAAAAATAGGTGAGGAAAAGTTCCTGCAGTGTTGGATGTAGAGTAAGAAACTTGTAAACTAGACCAACATAAAACTGTGGCAAGTTTTGAACATTTAATATTGATTTTTGGGTTTGCCCAAGTGGAAAATATAGTTTTAACAAAGTTGGTGAGCAGGTAGGTGTGTGAATCCTAAAAAATGTGAGCTAAGAGCCCGAGTTGGTCCCCGTGAGGTTTTATTCAATTTCTCAATTTTTAATTGCAAAAAAGGGAATTTGAAATCAAACTTCAAGGCTAAAATAACACACCATCCAGCTCTGACTAAAAAATAAAACAAAAATACATAGATAGACACACCCCAAAATATATCACAGTTTCAAGAGTAGACGCAACATAAAAATAATTTGGTTTTTATGGGAAATTCATGCCAAACGTGAATTGCTTTAAACCTATCCTCTGGGTTTAAATAATTTCACAATAAAATGAATAAGGTGTGCAGTGATTTTAAAACAGCCAGCCCTGAATTGTTACTTTAAGGCTTCATTAAAGGAAATAAAGGGTTACAAAAAAGAAAGAAACATATGCGCAAGGAACAGGACGCGTAAAGACGCTTAGTCATATGGAGCAGAAACATCCTCTCTCAGACCTAAAGCCTGTAACTCTGAATTAAGGTTTCACTGTTATTACCACGTCTAAATAAACATATAAAAGTCATTTGGCTGATGAGTTTTTATTTTATTTCTTAATAATATCCCCACAAGCCCCAAAGTGTCATGTTGGTGATACTCAACTGGTGTCAGGCCCGCAGTGTTTTCCACCTACTGTAGTTTTCCAGCTGCTCGCCTGGACTTTCCACGTCTTACTTATGACCTGCACGTGGTGCCTATTTCCGTAAGGTTAATGGGTTTACATTCTCCGTCATACAGAACAAATAAGGGGGGGGGGGGGGGGGGGGGGGGGGGGGGGGGGGGGGGGGGGTGCGTGCAAGAGGGACAAGAGGGGTGTGTGTATGACTGGAAATGCTGCTCAACAGATCTTAAAGAAAAGCCAGTGTAATGTAAAAGTCTACCTGATGCTCACTGACCCCCGCTAACCCCCCTTTTTGCTCCTTTGCGGGGCACCCAGGATGCTTCACGGGCTTTGGATCGTCCAAATGCCTCGTGCACCTGTCTCGAGGTCCCTATACGTGCGTTTATGAGCAAGGAGGAACAAGTGGGAGGGAGACAGGTGGAAAGCACTTGCTGCGGGATGAAGTGTTATCTGAGAGCAGGTTTACGCGTGCAGACAGAACAGTGGGATATCAGGTCACCACACCAAAATGTGTAATATTTTGAGTTTATTTCGTTTAAAGATCATGTAAATATCCTACAAATCAAAGGTGGAAGAGCATGTGGAAGCAGGGGTGCATTTTTAGGAAGTGTGTGTTAAAAGATAAGCCTGGATACACACGTGTGGAAACTAGTAGAAGACATTTATTTTAACAAAACTGACATTTTTTAACATGAATTAATGCAGGAAAGGCGCAGATTGGTGCGTAAAAATCAGTGTTTGATGCTCAAAATTTCCAAATGTTTCATAAATGTCCCTCCAAATTTTGAAAAGGAAACTAAATCTGAACAACTTTTAAAGTAGCTCAAACTTGCAGCCCTGCAACCTGTGGCCCACCATAAGGAATTATACACAGACATACATTTACAAATGTCAAACCAGCACTCCAGCTGTGATCATATCACAGCACAGATTTTTAAAAGTTAGGCATTAAAATGAAAAGTTGTCACAGAGAAAATGCCCAGCATGCCTTCGAGCTTTTCCCTCCCGTTTATTTCTGATTTCAGATCGGAGTTCACTCTAAATGTGCGAAACAATTCATGTTATGCCTCCGTGTCCAGCTTGCAACTTTAATTATAGTGGAAGGAGGTCAGTCATAAGCGGGTTTCCGACCCCTCTCCCTGTGTGGCATCGCGCCCTGCGCCGTTTCCAACTCGCCAAAATAGTGCTGGACTCCCCTGAAAGCGCCATGTGCGACTGAGTCCCTTTCACCCCGCGTGCACCTAAGTTGTTTTTACCCCCCTAGCCGCGGATATGTTGTGAATTTGTCACTTATCAGTGGGCGGGCTGTCAAAGGCCATTTTAGGCGCAATAACTTTCCCAGATGGATTTAGCCTTGCCAACTTTTTGCGCGTCTCTCAGCAGCCGAGATGAATAGGCTGCGTGCCTGTTGCTCCACAGAAATGTCTCTTACGCCTACTAATGAAGACTAATTAAAACATGACAAACATCGACCTTTAGTGCATCCTAAACAGGGCTGCGAGCACGATTAGGATTATGCAAATGAGGCCTCCATTCTTTGACAATATTCAATGTGGTGACATATTTCAGAGGTGTAGATTTCTCCTCTGTATATCCACACAACAGGTGTCTGCTTTTCATTTTTAGGAGTCTGAATGATTGAATGCTTCTTTTTCATATTTGATATTTTGATAAATATGTGTTTCATTTACACAATTTAAACCCCCAGATTTACACATAATCTTAATCAGTGAGATAATTAGCTGGATCCAGATTGACAGAGCATCTCCTCATATTTAATTCTTTTATATTTTAGAGGAAACTGAAGATGGATATTGACCTGAGGTTGTAAATTTTTAGCCTACTGTCTGCGAGTTTTGCACAAAAATGCAGAGTTTTTTTGTTGTTGTCTGCCTCTCAGGATAGATCATGCAATGGAAATGCTCAGCTTGATTTATTCCATTACCTTTTATTCAGTTCTTATTATTACCCTGGTCGATTTACAGAGTCTGATCCGGGCTGTAAGATGCACTGGGTGTGTTTAATTTACACTGGGAAGGATTTGTTTGGATGGCATGCATAATGTGCCATCACCTGAGATTTAGGCTGTCATTTTATTATTGTCCTGCGGAGGAAGAGGAGGAATCAACAGGAATGGCACACAAGGCTGAGCATGCTGACTGAACTGATAAATCCCACTGAGACACTGAACTGTTGTTTACACTGTTAAAGACGATGCTGCATCTGTAGCCTAGTTCCTGTGTTTTTTATGTAGATGTTCTGCTATTATTCCTTTGATTTAGCCCCCAAAGCAGTGGAAGAGTGGCCACAAAAAAAAGGCTGGAAACAGGCACACAAATGAGCAAATGAAGAAAAGGTGTGGAGGCATAATAGCACCCTCAGATAGGGGTACGTAGAGAAGGTGGAGTGCAGCCTGAGACTGCCATTTGAATGGGATCTGAGAGGTAATTTGAGCTAAAATGGAGTCCACTTCTGAGCCACTCACTCAGCCCCCCATGGCATCCACTGTAATTCATTATTCCTGGCCGGCACTGGGAGAGGCAATGAGTGAGGGCAGAGGACAGGAGTGGACCCAGCTCTGGTGTAATGAAGACTCAGTAGACCTAAACCACTCTCACACACACACACACAGCATGCACGCACACATACACACACTCAATCTTTCATTATATATCACAGAGAGCAGGACATTAATGCCACTGAAGACCTTTTGGCAGAGAAATAAGAGTGTGCAATGATTTTCTCCACACTCAATCCATTTCATTGACCTTTTCTATCATGCATGTGACTCGACCCCGCTCACTGCAGTGTGGATAAATATTCCAA